TTTCAAAAAAAACATCATCCATAGTTTATCCCAATGAACAAAATTTGTATAAAAAGAAAGCAATAAGTTGAGTGTCACGTACTGGATATTTGTTCCGAAATTTTGTCTTACGCAAAAACTTATAAATTAAAATCTTTTTTCAGGTACTTAATTGCTTCTGTTTCTTTCTTATGACAATCGAATGCATCAATAATCCCTTCTAATTTCTTTTTCTTATGCAAATATTAAGAAATACGCGTACTTTCGTTTTTCTAACATTTGCATGAATCACAGACAGAGAGAGAGACACACTGTGATTAACTCTTTTTTCCTCTCTAGTATACATACCCTGAAAAATTGACAAATTAATGAGATTTTCTGTTTCTTAAAAGATGCAAAGTATGGGCTGGTATATAAGCATTTTGTAGAATAATGTTAATTATTCATTAACGTTAATATACTCTGATTAACAATTGTAGTATGTTAATTATAATAAACATTTTTTGTATTTCCCAATGAATGAAAAACAAAACGATATTGTTTTTATTGATGTTTCGCTATTTAATGCTAATAGCTTTATCAAAGTTTTATTATTAAACCAGAATTTACAATAGATCTTTATCACTAGAAGGCCATTATCAGTTCAGGAAATAGCACTATAATCAAACCTGCTCTGCAATAGTTCAAAAATGAAGAATCACAACCTGTACGTCAAAAGATATCACATATATATCATCGATACAACAAAACATACCGTCTAATCTCACAAATACTTGAATATGAAGCCCTAAGAAATTTGAACAAGGACAAAAGCGTAAATATAACGAAAGCCGACAAGGAAAACATCACTGTGATATTGAACAGAACGGATTATGAAAAGAAGGCGATTGAACACCTATCTGAAGGACCACATTTAATCATTGGAGAGAAGAAGAAATCCGCCGAATTCGACAAAATGATACTAAATACAAACAGACTCCATCAACAATTGAAACTTAAAGTTGGAAATTCTCTCTGGTTTAAACTGAAACCAAAATCTTATTTACCTTCCTGATTTTACGGTCAACCAAAAAATACATAAACCCACAGTTCCATTAAGACCAATAGTAGATTTCACCAACTCACTGGTATACAACCTCTCTAAATACTTATTTTCGATGCTACAACCACTACAAAATTACACTCAAAATATTGCAAGAAATTCATATGATTTCAAATCCTAAACAGAACACCGAGAAATTGATAAATAAAACATTATGGTGAGCTATGATAGTAGCTCGTTATATTCTAGTATCCCTATGACCAAAATTCTTGATATCATTTCCAGTCTACTAGAATCAGATACAAGGCCATCACATAGATGTCCACTGGACACCAATGAAATAATTAAGATCTTGAAATTCTGTCTAGAAAGTAATTATTTTACATTTAAAGGGGATTTATATAGACAGATAAATGTTGTTTCTATGGGTTCACCAGTTTCCCCGATAGTTGCTGATCTTTTCATGAACAGATTTGAAGATAACATCTTTTCAAGCATACTAACTACTGAAATTTGGTTAAGATATAAAGATGATACTTTTCTAGTGCTTAAACGAGATCTACACAGTTCATTCTTGGAGAAAGTAAACAATCTATCTTCCAGAATCCAGTCTACTTCGGAAGCAGAATCAGACATCGGTGAACCACCATTTCTAGACTGCCTAGTTAAGAGGAGGAAAAACGGACATTTTAGTATTTCTATATTCAGGGAAAAAACCCACTCCAAAACATATTTAGACTTTAAATAATCACACCCCATCAGCGCAAATGTATCAGTTGTTTCAAGTCTTCTTAGACAAGCACACTGTCTGATAACGACAAAAAAGAAAAGGAAGAAGAAATGTCAAACATTACTGAAACTCTCAAGCAAAACAACTACTTAAAGAACTTCATCAGCAAAATCAACACTGACATTAAATATGGTAGAAAACGTATTCCGAAAACAAAACCTCATCAATCGTCATTCCATATAGAGCAGAGACGTCAGACGATATCAGAAGAGTACTCAGTAATCTTCACATTATAGTTTTCTTAGAAATATCAGATACACAGCAAAGCAATCTTGTCCATATAAAAGACCAAATCCCTGAAGATTCTCTGTCTAATTGTGTCGATGAAATAAAATGTTTGGAATGTGATGCGATCTACATCGGACGAACATCTCGAGAAATCAAAATCACAAAAAAATGAACACCTTAGAGCATCTGTTCGACCGCCGAGAAATCCATTTGAACTAGAAAAGCTTGAAAAGTCCTCAGCCATAGGTCTGCAAGCTATAAGATCAGGCCCCAAAATTGATTTTGACAATATTGAAATAATCCAGAAAAATCTTCAGAAATCACAAAGAACATCGGATATCATCAGAAGCACTTCATATCAAATAGAATCCAAATTGTCTGAACAGGAATGATGTACTAAAACAGAATTTGACCTGGTTACAACATCCCTCTTCCTTCCTCCATGAAGTAACGAAATCAACACGAATGTGATAAGCAAGTTCACTATGTAAAGACACACTGGTTTTATAATTTTACATACTTAATAAATCTAACAATTACACCAGGCTTTGCTATCTTTATCAGTTGGCCAATTTGAACGAAAAATGACCCCAAGCTGAGGAAGGATGATTAAGTTGTTAAATATAAGCTGATATTTTGTAAATTCTGGTTTAATAATACTTTGATAAAGCTATTAGCATTAAATAGTGGAACGTCAATAAAAACAATGATGTTTTTTTTCATTCATTGGGAAATACAAAGAACTTTTATTATAATGAATATCATATGCCCAATGCATCAGTAGCATAGCAGTTAGGACACTCGCCGACCATGCACATGGTTTGGGGTTCGATCCCCGGCTGACGCACTTCTTTACCTTGCTTAGCCAGAAATAATTCTGGTAAAGAGGTAAGGTTGAGCATGAGGCTAGCAACCCCATCCAGTAAAAGTAAACACTGTTACAGAAACTCCAAGCCAATAGCTTGAAGCCCTATGTTCCACTGGGAATGTGAAGGGAAAAATGCCAAAATGTTTTCAAACTGTTAAAAGTGAACTTGGTTTGGACATATATAAACTGTAGTGTGTAGTTATAATTAAGTTAAGTCAGTAAAAACAGTGTACATCAACTTTCATTCTCCCTCCACATATACAAAACATTTAAACTGGTTAATGAATGAACTTGTTGGAAAATATGTAAGAGATATGGTGACTTTTTCAAACTCATTATTATTCATTCTATTGTTTCCGAATGTAAGATAGGTCTTCAGAAGCACCCTTTCTTCAGCCATCTCTTTCAACTGATCCTATGACTGCTCACAAACGTTCATTCTCCCCTTATCATATGATCTCCTCCATGTCACCTTTGGATCGATAACCAACTCTTCAATACACAGTTAGGTTCCACTTGAGTGTCCGACATTTCATGAAACTAAATGGTTTCATGGGCATATTGCCAATCCATCTCTCTGTCACCTTCCGAATATTTAGTGAACAATAGCTTCTTCACTGGCTCGGTGATAAAATTTCCTGTGGCTTATCCTATCCGGCCAGAGAAGGCAGCTGTTGATGAAAGTCTATAACCTGTATGAAATGATTTAGATGAATCGCAGGCGAAGTTTTTGAGGCACACAGCAGTATTAACTTGACAACATTGTAAAAAATTCGAATTTTGTTTTTTATGTGAAGTGTTGTAGGTCCTCACATTGATATCAGGACAATGAATGCTTGTTTTGCATTCCCGATGAGAACTCGTGAGTTTTAACATTTTCACAATTTCTACCTGTATTTGTGCTGAGGCTTCTTAGATAAATTAGGTAAAAGAGACAACTTTAATCAGATATGACTCACTGGTGGTAACACGTGTTTTTGTAGGTAGGTTGAGGATCTTTATAAACTATGTTATAGTACACTGCAGGTTAATTATAGTTTAACTTCCGGTCGAAACTAATTTGTACACCTCCATGATGATTAAAGTGTACTCTTCAATTACTCTCAATGAATTCTCCGTTGAGATACTGAAGCCATGAACATCCGAAGACTGACTTATGGATATACAAAGACTTACATGTTTACTGTCTTCTAAATGAAACCGAATTTGAAGTAATCAAGTAATCAGTACAAATACTTAAATTTGTTTGAAATCTATAGCTACTCATTTAGTTAATTGGGTTGTATTTTATTTGCTGAGTGTGCAGTACTCCGACATGAATGTTAAAGGCCTAAAGAAATGTATATATTTACAAAAGAAATTGTATTTAAGTTCTCGATTGCGAATAATTAGTAACTTAATATGCATGCTTTTGTTGGAGACCTGATAAATAGTGAGGGTATTCGACAAATTTAGTTAACCCAGTATAAGACTGGACAATTCCGTCGCTGCTGTGCATTAATCAGCTACCATTTATCCCTAATCATTTTTCCAATGGCTGGGTTATCATGATATCCATTGCAACTGTATCAGTTTAGGTATGAAGTATATCACTTTAATTAATATTCTGAAATAGCCGTCCACTGAAGTATATATATATATATGCATGACTATAAGCCACCTTTCTGTAGGTAAAGCTAACCAGCAAAAATAAATTTAGCACTGTGTAAAATTACAAATTATGCATATCAAAGTGTGGGTTTTGGTGGCTTATAGGTGAAATGTTTGTCAAACACGCATGTGGTCCACTCCTGGCCGAATCACTTCTCAACCCATCCCACTAAGTTTACTAATTGATAGTCGGCTTGGAAAAGGCTGGACGTGAAGCTAGCAACCTCATGTTCTAAAAACAACGCCACCGCTACTGAAATTGCAAGGCTTGAAGCCTAAGGTTCCACCCAGAATGAATGGAATGAAGACAAATGCTAAGGTGCAAATCTAAGTTCGATCTTAAATAGAGACATCTTGATCAAGGATATCTTTATAGTACAAAAACACAAAATAAAGTCCAATACAAGATCATATTACGTGTCAAATAATATAAAAAAACGTACCTAATAATCCCGGTAAATGAAGCACTTCCATTATTTCTCCGCAGAGGAAACCAAAACCGTAGAAAATAAGTATACTGAGTGCTTCACCATTACGACATTCAAGTGCATTTTCACGATCAATCCCTGAGACTTTAACATCATTATTTGTATCATTATGATTATTATTTTTTTCTATGCTTGAAGAATCTGACTGTTTAATTACAGAAACAAGTCTACATTCTGGAGGTAGAGCAACACTTCTTTTAACAGATATAATACATGCATAAATTGCTAATAAAAATAATGCATATGTAAATACTCCACTTGTATGTGTATAAACCTTCAATAAAGGCTTAGCCAACCATGGAGGCAATCTAATACGTTTAAGACATGCTTTACATTTAATTCGACATTTTTCACGACATTTTCTTAGTCGACTTGATTTGCCTTGATCTTTTATACTGTCACCTTTATTTTCCTCTGATGTATTATTATTATTATCATTCTCGTATAGATTACTCATATTCTCGTTGTCATCAATGTCTTCTTCTTTGATATTGTCACTTTCAAGATAGCTTTTCTGACTAGTAGTAGTTAATGGTTTTATTTGATTTAAAATATGCTTTTCTTTTGACTTATTGAAACTTTTATTAGTTTTGGAGGTGATTAAATCACTCAATGGTTCATTCGGTTGAATAAATGAAACACCAGACTGGGAATGCAGTTGTTGTTGTTGCTGCTGCTGCTGATTGTTTGATGATTGTCCAGAATATGAATTTATTCTATTCTCTCTTGCTGGAATAATCCGTCACGGTGAATATGAGAGGTTGCTGATAAAAGCGTGCAAAAAAAAGAAAGCAATTTTATATATCATGATGCTGTAAAAATGAGCATTCAATATTTATTATAGATATACTGAGTGCTAGGTAAATTCTAATATTTGTATTCTCTAAGTTGGAAGATTCAGTTGTGAATCTTTCATTGACGTTCTAGGCAACATCTTCAGTCCTGTCAAGTATTCACTAGTAAATCACCATTATTTCTCCATAGATGCCTTAGCCACTAAATCGTTCAAACCAATGTTAGGTGCAGACGACCACTCAAATGATGAATTATAAAAACAAATTGTCAAACTAGTGATCACTAATGCACGCTTAAATGACATGCTAAGGAAAAGCCTTGAAAAAGTTCTCCACCAGTAATATCTAAGGAAATTTGAAGAAAGATATCTCATGGACGTCTCGCAAAAGAATGGATATCAACGGAATTTCATCAAAAGATATATACCCTCAAGCCAACCTATCAAACCAAAGGCCTCAGAGGAAAGCACAAAGAAAATTGCCCTACCATATATAAAGGAGATCGCAGAAATCACTGCAAGATTCCCCAAACCTTTAGGAACTGACGTCACACACAAACCAACAGAATCACTTCACTCAGCTGCTCTATGTCAGCCAAAAGACTCAACAAAGAAAGAAGATGAAACCAACATCATCTACAAAATAAATTCCAACAACTGCGAAAAACAAAGCAGACATCCCCTTCGTTTTTGTATCCATGCATATAAGCTAGTCGTCAAAAGACATGAAATCACTCCCTCACATCACTCACTGCCTACACACAACCACGGACATGAATTCGACTGGAACAACGTTCAGATACTGAACAGAAGAAACACCAAGAATGATATAAAATGTTTTAGAACGCTGCCTGGTTTTCAAGCGAATCGTCAGTCAATAGACACATCGAAGTAGAAAAAACTGGACAACCGGTAAGAGGGAAGTCTCACACACAACGGGTCAAAGTTCAAGTCAAAGAAACAAACAATTCCAAAACAAGTAACCTAGATGGTGTGAAAATACACAAAAGCAACTAACCACGTTATAGGGGGTCATCAGGAGAGATGACTAGTAAACGCGTGGCAAAATCTTAAAGCTCACTTCAAATTGAAGTATGTGCTGAAGATGTTGCCTAGTAGGGCAATGAAAGCTTCGCAAATTAACTATCCACCTCAGAGAACACAACCACGTCAAAATCATCCACTTCAGCTATAAATCTTCACAGTCATATTCAATTATATCTATTGTGCTTGACCATTGCATTTAAATTGTCAAGCAGACAGCAAAGAGAATTAAGACAAGATTGCGTGAAAGATAAACTAACTAAAAGTACAGAGTAGCACACTGAAAGAACGCTAGTTGATTGTGTATCTAACTGGCACAAATGAAACCACTTTTTCAAGTAGATTGGACTACTATAATGATAACCTCTCAATAATGGAATACCTCACTGTCCTATATCTTCAGTTAATTCATCGAGTTAACAGCCTGTAAAAGTCATGTTTTATCGTGTTTACTTATTGTAGAGAAGTGGTGGTTTTCCGTGGTTGAAATTTCACCTGTAAAATATGTGAATAGAAGTAGTTTTTAATAGGATTATAATATTTTGTAGAGGCTGTTAGAAACAGTGAATTACATAAGTGATATGTTAGTCTAGTCTCACAGGCGTACTCTTTATATGCTGTTTGCAAGTGCCTATGTCTTCAGCTGAATTGTGTCGGAATGTAGCTACTATAAGAAGGAAGGAATGACTGGATGGTTGGTAGTATTTTCTGATTAAATAATTGCTTTTTTTATAAAAAGATGCTTTTATTTTTGACATAGATTCATTTTATGAAGACTTTGTTTGTTTTCATTGATTATGAAGAATTTTCGCAGTGATTTAATAGAAGTCGCTGACCACTTTCAATCTTCATTTCATTTTGATTAAATAAATAAGCATAGTATGAAGTATACTAAACTGTTTAGCCTACACATTTAAACAGGGAAAGTATTTACTCTACTGAATTCTAAAAAACATAAGTCTCATAAAAGGCGCTAAAATAAAAAGTTTTTTGCTGAGAATGTTGTATGAAAAAAGAGTGAAAGCTTTACAGTTAAACTGTTGAATTTTTAAAGAACAAAACTTTACTAACATCATCCACCTGTGCTATACATCTTCAGTATTTCCAAGTGCTGCTGTATGTGGGCTATACTTGCTCTACACAAAATACTCACGACAAATCTCGCATAGACAGTATTCTAAGATTAAACGATTATCTCTATGATTTACTGTATTACTTGAAGGCATTGATTCACGAATTGTGAACCACAGTTACAATAAAAATTTTTATTTACACTTGTGTCATATTCAGTAGTCAGAATATTTGTGGGTATATATCAGCCAGGCAGTTTATACCGATGAACAAACAAGTGATTTATATGGTAACTCAGTTTCTAGCATTAACGATGATAAATTTATTTCATACGGTTATTTTAATATACATTTTCATTTGATATTAATATGTAATGAAGTGTGGTAAATTTGACCTTGTTGTCCTTGAGAAATAGACCCAAGTGTCATTCAGGGCCGGGTTACATTATCCAAGGGAATATCGTATTTATATCTTTTGTAAACTAAAAAGAATAATTTGTTCTTCATGTTGTTATTATTATTATTATAATTCACACTCATTGTACGCTGAATAGGTAAACCAGTGAAAGTCAGAATCAACGACAAATACTTTTGACCTTAATTTTCTTTAATATGTGTAAAAGTGATTGACTTTTATAGCTATTTTATTTGAGTCAAAAATCGTTTTAGAATTATTGAATTCTGTGAGAAAATACCTTATGTCTGTAACTCTCTATTTGTCTGTATCATAAAGTTTTTATCTACCACACTAATAATGCAACAAAGTGAAGTAATTCATATTACTGTGTATTACTTGCCTTTGTAAAAGATAAAATCGACGATTTTAGAAAAGCACAGGACAGATAAAAACACAGACTGGAAGAAGAATTGCAGGCGAAAATCAACAAAATTGGCTGAAGAAACAGAAGAAGAAAACAGGACTCCAAGTGAACAGAGAGAAGACAAAGGTGATGACGAAAGCTAACCAACCAACAGCCACAACAACAACCAGCACTAATCGCCATCAAAAGCAGAGATTTAACAGAGGTTACCTCCTTCTTTTTTTATAGGAAGCATCGCTTCAACTACAGCTAGAGGAATGGATGAAGGTCGCAAAGTCAACCAGAATTGAAGAGGCAAGATAGACCCTCATCAACCTGATACCAGTTTGGAAATCTTTTGCACTCAACCGGCACATAGAGCAAGATTCGGATTTTCAACACAAACATGATGTCGGTCAGTTCTTCTATAAAGATCGGAAAATTGTTCAGAACGTCATGGAGAGGATTTTCAGCAGCCTGTTATAGACTCTAAACAACGAGTGCTACCTTCGATGTCAACATCATACCGGAGTTCAAGTGGCCAGAAAGAATTAGTAGCAAGAAACTGTATCAACAAACCAACCAAAAACCTAATGTTCAAGAAATATGTAATCAAGAATGAAGATGGATTGATTACTCACTAAGGAGGCCGTCTAATAACATCTCTTACCTCACCTCTCAAGTGGAACCCAAATGGGAAACGACTAGTTGGACGTATGAGGGTGACATGGAGAAGGTCGTTCGGGGAGGAGGAGATGGGAGCTTATAGGAAATTGTGGGATGAGTTGAAGGGGACTTCAGAGAATAGGACAAAAAGCGAGGTAATCTGTTGAAGCCCTATGTTCCACTCGAAACCAAAGGAAACAATAGGGAAATTTTCTGAATAGTACATCAGTTAACCAATTACTATCTTCTAAATTTAGAGTACATTATGCTGATAGGTATTATTAGCCACTTATTCACCTGCGACAAAAATTGCTCACACAATTAAATACATATGAATTCACATTATTAAGTGGATTTCAAATGAATATTGTAAAATGTAAAACCTTTTGTAGAAGTTATTGTAGATTAGTACTAATAAACCATAATTTCATAAAAACATGAATCTTTCATTTTATTAAAATCTGTCATCATAAATAAATATAACGCATTCATCATAAGTGCATTTCGAGGATATCAAAGCAAGAATCGAAAAAGCAAGACAAGCTTTCCTTTTTCTTAAGTCTGTGTGGAGGTAAACAGCATTCAGCATCAAAATTAAAATCCGGGTTTTCAATTCCAATGTGAAGTCAGTCAGTGCTACTCACCATACAGATCAGAGACTGGACCAGCGCGTCATAAGGAGCATCTCAAACAAACTTCAGACCTTCAATAACAGTTGTCTTCGCTCAATACTCAAGATCACATGGCCAAAAAAGATCAGAAACAGGGATCTTAGCGAGCGAACCAACCCACCAGAAACAGATTTTGAAACAAATAGGCAGGAAGAAATGGAGATGGATTGGCTATGCTCTGAGGAAACCATCAAGTGACATCACTAGACAAGCCATTGCTCGAGTGGAACCCGAAAGGGAAGCGGCGAGTTGGTCGTCAGTGCAAGGGTGACTTGGAGGAGGTCATGTGAAGAGGCGATAAAAGCATGTGGGCAGACTTGGAGCGGGGTGAAAAAGTTGGCAGAAAGCTGAAGGTAATGGAGACGCACAGCTGAAGCCCTATGTTCCTCTAGGAATTAAAGGATATAATAATA